CACGGGTGGTGCTGGCCCCGGAGGAGAAGGAAGCCCTGAAGAAAGCCTACCAGCTGGAGCCCTACCCCTCCCAGCAGACCATCGAGCTGCTCTCCTTCCAGCTCAACCTCAAGACCAATACCGTCATCAACTGGTTCCACAACTACAGGTACGGGTGCTCCCAGACTTTGGGCATCTCATGGTGTCGTGCCACCAAGGTGGTGTCACTCTTCCTCTGCCAGCCCTCCCGGTCCTTCTTGCCTAGATGGGGAAGGTTGTAGACCCAGGTGTGGTCACTGGAGGTCCCCAGGTGCAGGATTGCAGCCGAAATGCTGCATGTGCCCTGGCTGGTGGGTGATCAAGAGGTGTCCAACACCTTGACCAAGTCATCTTGAGCATCTAAAGAGGTTACCATGCTCATGTCCACCTGCTTGCTGGCGTGGTACGCCACCTGCCACTGAGCAGGAGCTTCATGATGGGTGGTGGAAAAACTTATGGAAGCTCCTGGAGCACAGGATCCATCCCTACAACAGCCTGACCCCACAGAGCAACAGAATTGCAAGTGGAAATGTGCCTCCTGAGTCCTCCCCATACCCACACTGAGAGCAACCTGCTCTGCCTCATCAGCCCATCAACCCAGAGGGTTGTGCCCTCTCCCCGATATAAACCAGTATAAGAAGATGTATAAGTGCTTGTGTCAAATCCCACTGCCTCCATCTCCCCCTGGGCATCGTAAAGTAGATGGTCAATATTTATGGGAGCCAGCTGAGGTTTCTCACATGAAGCTATCACGTGGGGAGTGTGGGGGAGAGCTTGAACAATCAAGGCTTTTTGGTGAAACATTGACTAATGGGGTTTTTAAACCCGCCACCTTTCCCCTCGCACGATTCCAGGAAAGCCCCTTCTGCTCTCGGTAAACACAACCACCCGAAAATAAACCTTTGAAAAATGTTGTGTGTTAAACAACAACAAAAATAAGGTAGTGGTAAACACTGGCTGGAAACAGCCCAAAGTGTTGCAAAATCCAGGCCCCATATTCAAGCAGCAGTGATTTTTCCCCCTCCAAAAAAAGTGTTTTAAAGGCCAACAAGGTGAGGTTTTGCATCTCAAGCCATGTCGTTGCATTTTTCTGGCTGGAGATGCTTTTTGTGTTGGTTGGTGGTCACCGACCCTCTGTGCTTGTGTCCCGGCAGGTCGAGGATGCGCCGGGAGATGCTGGTGGAGGGCACGCAGGACAACGACACGGACCCGGAGCAGAGCAGCGGGGTGGCCATCCCCGGGCGCCAGGCCCCTCACAGCCCCGATTCGGATACCGAGGACCGTAAACCCGTGTTGGGGAAGGGCGAGCATCCCTGCGCCGCCGCACCGGTGAAGGTGAAGGAGGAGCAGGGGGAAGCGGGCGGCTGGGGCCGCCGGCGGGACTCGCACAGCCCGGCTGGAGCGGCCGAGGGGACCGGACCTCCCCAGGAGGAGCGGGTCACAGGCCCTCACGCCGCCACCCCCAGCGCCGGCAGCCTCCCGCGGCGGGGAGGCCGTGCCGGTGTTACCACGGGGGGACCCCCACCCCCCCCACCGCCGCCGCACCCCGACAGCTCCCAGTCCTCCGCCGGGTCATCCCGTTGCAGCTTGGAGGTCTCCCCGACGTCGCCTTCGGCAGCCTCCTCGCCCGGCCTCGCCGGCTCGGCCTCCCCGGGCCCGTCCTCCGCCGGGCCGGTTTCACCAGCGCTGCCGCCAGCTCCCCCCGGCCCCCGGCTCAGCACCAGTGTCCAGCGGCGCCACGAGAAGATGGCCAACCTCAACAACATCATCCACCGCCTGGAGCGGGCCGCCAACCGCGAGGAGGCCCTCGAGTGGGAGTTCTGAGCCCCCCTCCCCCCTCCCCATCCACCACCCTAAATATATATATACACACCCACATATATATATATATATATTTTGTTAAATGCAGCGTGCACCGAGAGGCGACAGGCGGCCGGCGCCACAGAGGGGAGCGCCCATGGAAATGAGGGGCCCTCCTGTTATGAAGCTGCCCCCCCCAGCTTTGTTTTAAATGTGAAAAACTGGGAACAATTTTAGAAAAGAAAAGAAAAACAAAAAAAAACAAAACACAAAAATATTTATAGACCTCTTTTAGATATTTTAATAAAAGGATACTTTGGAATTTATTAACAGCTTAAGCTGCTTTGATATTAAAGATAGCTATAAAATCAAGATGATGTAGCAGTTGTGTCATTAAATGTACACTGAAGTCTTGTAGTTTGCCACTGGATGAGATTAAAAAGAAAAAACAGAAAAACAAACAAAAAAAACCCCACAGAAAAGACTTACTGAGCAAAGCCATCAAGAAGCACTATGAGACTGACCAAATTGAATAAACTTTTGCTGAGCGGTTTCCACCTCTGTCTAAGACACTGCATCGCTTCTGCCCCAGCCAGAGACTGCACCATAGTCCCTGAAGACTCTAAAGCGAAAACCTTGATGCCATCGAGTATGTATTTAGTTCTGGTGGTTTTATGTTTTTTGAAACCTTTGTAACACAGAATGTCCCGTGCGGTTGTATATGTTGTAGAAATGTCTGCAATAGCCTTCTGGAACAAGATGTAGCATGGTCCGAACGCCGTCCCTCACGCTTCCTCCAGCCGGCAACCGGTGGCAGCCCCCATACGGCACGGTATGGCTCCTGCCAGCTCCTGAAGGAAGAGAGAAAATAATGCAAAAGCAAAGAACGCAACCTATGTCTGCCATTTTGGGAGCGAGATGGGAAGAGGTACCTGGGGGTGGTGCTCGAGGACGGCTCCGGTTTGCTGGGGATGGGTATCCATGGGATCCCAGTTCCCCGCCCTCTGCCATCGTCCGTGTGGGACAGAAAAGGATGGAGCCTGTGAGCTTTGCACCTGGGGCACCAGTGGTTGGGGTCCAGCACCCAAAAATCATGAGTAGGTGGGCCGAGCCCTGCTGGGGGCTGCTCCCAGCATCACAGCCAGCTCTTGTGGCTGAAGCACTTTGTTTTTAGGGAGAGGACCCAGGCAGGGGGTGTCCCCAGGCGGTGGCTGCTGGTGAAGCCGGGATGAGCCCCATGGTGTTGAGCCAAGCTCCTGATCTGAACTGGGCAAACTCAGGCCTGAAATGGGCAAAGCACCATCAGGTTTTGGCTTGCCAGGGCTGTCCCCGTACAAAGGTGCAGGAGCTTGGTGGTGGCACCTCCCTGACCCCACTGCCACCAGCCAACTTCTGCTAACAAAATGCCTTTAGCCAGGATGGGGTGGACCGCGCTGGGCTGCTCAGCCCTGTCCCCTGCCCACGTGGCATCAGCCATCCCCCTCCAAGGCCATCATCGGGAGGGCTCCCCTGCCAGGCTCCGAGGCTATGCATTGACTGATTTTCCACTGTATACATTTTTATCAGAATAGAAGGTATTTTTATATTTGAGTGGTAGTCGATGAGCGATGCTAAAAGCAGCTCTGCGAGGGCACGGCTCTCCTTGCCCGCCCACCCTGCCCCAGTGAGCCCCCAGCTTGCCCACGGCCGCTCTTTTCCCCGCAGAAGGTCAAGGCATGACCATTGACTGCTCTTCTCCATCGTGTCCTAGCGGGAGCTTTAGTGGGACGGGATTTGAGGAAGCACTTAGGAATAGTCTTGAACACGGCAATTCTGTTGTATTAGCGGGACATACCGGTTCACGTTTTTTTGTTAGGCTCATGTACTGTACTTCAAAAGTTTCTATGAGATCGATGAACTTTGTTTAACAATTTTGGAAGGAACAAGTTCTGTAAAGAGCCACTAAATACAGAAGTTGGATACGACTCTGGCCTCGGGGTGTGTTTTATCTGGACGGGGCTGGGATGGGAGCTCCTCCTGCCTTTGCCCGGTGCTTGGGTTGATGTTGGCTCCCTTGGAAGTCACAGCCTTGCTTTGGGTTTGTGGCAAGAGCTCTCACTGCCATAAACATCTCCTGGTGATGGGGGAGGGCAGGGAAAGAAGGTGTTAATCAGGGTTAATGCAGCTCAGGGTGCAATCCTGCCCTGGGAAAGTCCTGTGCTCATCCCTAATGCAGGTTTGCTCCTGCCCCTGGGGTAACTCAGCATCCTCCAGACCCTGGCACGGCTCTCCTTCGGAGCCGGCCATCGCCAGGCGAGTTTGCAGCTCCCGACACGAGCCGGGAGTGTTTGCATTCGATGAATTAATAAATCCGTATGTTGCGTATCTGTTTAAGCTTGTTTGTCGGCTAACATGTTGGGAAGGATTTATTTTTAATGAATATCTGAACGTCTGGAGGAGCTGGGCTGGCTGCCATGGAAACCGGAGTCTTCCTCTGCAGCCGACTGACGGGGTCGGGTTAACCATCTGGGTGCTGGGGGTGTAGCTGCACCCCGGCTGCCCTCAGTGGCACCGCTCCAAACGCCGACACACGTAGCGTGGTGCTGTGCCTGCCCGGGAGCAGGGGCCTCGGTGGGAGAGAGACTCTGGCTGACTTTGTGCCTCAGTTTCCCCAAGAGGCTCCCCCCCAGCCCCAGCTCCTTGCAAGAACCCCGTGGCAGCAAGAAGCTGGAGACATTCATGCGAGTGGGGTGTCACATGCAGGGACATGAGGTCACGTTGGCCACTTCTACAAGGGCAGGGTCCCTGTGTAGCACTGACACCAGCCCTCCAAGGTGACAGATATTTTGTCCCTGGCTAAGATCCTTGGCAGAAGGCTGGGGATGGTCTTTGCTGTGTGACCATCCTGATGCTGTGTGTCCCAATGTCCCCAGAGTGACACCATCCCATCCCATCCCATCCCATTCCATCCCATCCCTGTGGGCAGATATGGGGCTCCAGGGCACTGCAAGATCCTGGTGGTGTCCATGTCCCACTCAGGTGACATAGTCCCTGCCTGACCATGCATGGACACAGTGGGGACAGGAGGGGGATTAAAATGGAGGATTAATTCCCACCTGGGCACCCCTCCTCAGGGGTTTAAAGGTGCAAATAAGAACCAGGGCCAGGAGGGAATTTCTGAAACAACTTTTATTGTAGCAAAATCTTGTGCCTGTCCCAAGGGGGGAAAAGGGAGCCGGTGCCACCCAGCCCAAACCCAGAGCACCCTGACTGCTTCTCCCAGACCCGGGGTGGGTCACCCCACCTCCCATCCAGCAGCTTTAGTGTTGGTATAAACGGTTGGGGAAATAAGAGAAACACCGGCTTCGCTCTGGTTTGGCACATGAATCACTCGACACGCTCTGCCGCTGACACATTCGTTCCTGTTTGCTGCCGTGCGTGATGCTTCCCCTTGCTGAGCCAGCCTGGGGATGATGTCCTGCCCCAAAATATCCACCCGGCAAGGTGGTACCCGCAGCCACCACGTTCCCCTTGGGTCTGCCACCCTGTGGGTCCACCGGCTGGGCTGCAAACAGCAATCACCCTGTGAAAATACCCAGGGCTGGGTGTCACCAACCCCCCAGGGAGCCAGGGCGTGCAGTGCTGTTGTCACTAAGGAAGGGCTGCGCTCACTGATATTTTCTCTTTCAAACCACATCCTGCTGGAGCAGAGGGATCCGGCGAAACTGGGCTGACCTCAGCCAGTGGCTTGTGCTATGCAGAGAAGGGAAGGCAGAGCCAGCTCCCCAGCTGTGAAACACCCACACAGGGGCTCAGGTGTGTGAGATCCCATCAAAATCCTCCTCTAAAAGCACTGGTGGTGCATGATCCCACTGCAGAAGCATCAAGAGGCCTCAGCAGACCCAGTGCAGTGGTCAATTCCCAGGAGGCATCAGCCAGCAAATGGTTTGTAGCTTACTTGTGCTGGGTGGGCCATCCCACGTGGGGTACATGGAGGGGTACACCCCTGCCTGGTATGAGATACCTAAGAGCCTGGCAGCCCTGAGAGCCCGGGGACTTAATGCCTGGCTGGTGGCATGCTGAGCCCAGCTGCCATCAGTGCTGGGTTGGCATTTCTCCATCACGGAGCAGCACTGGTGTCCCTCAGTGCTGGGCCCTCAGTGGCACCATCAGCAGGTGTCCATCACCACCACAACAAGGCTGCGCATCCCAGGGCGAGGAGGGGACCAAGGTGGCACCAAGGATGATCACCTCCTCCCTGCCACGCGTCTTGGCAGGTTCCCAGGGCTCGGCCACCTCTCAGGACCGGGGGCCACGCTGCTTCTCCAGCCAGTCCTGCCGCAGCCGGACCACCTCCTGACCATACTGCTCGTGGAGCCAGCAGAAGGTGGAGGGGCTCTCTGCCATGGCCACCCTGGGGCTGCCTGCCTCACTGCTTGATGCCCGCCTGCGTGGTGGCAGCGGTGGTGGCCGCGGGTTCCCCTCACCATACCCACCACAGCTGGAGGTGTCAGGCACCCTGCCCGCTCCTGGTGCATTGTTCCACACCGCGCAGCCGTTCTCCTTCGGCAGGAGGGCAGGCAGAGCTGGCAGCTTCTCTGGGGACCGCTCTGGCCATGAGGGCTTCGACTTCCAGGAGCCAGGCGGCAACTGCCGGCAGCCTCCATATCCACCAGCCGGCCCCAGGACGATCTCCTCCAGCTGCATCTGCAGCTCCCGCACCACCATCCTCAAGTAGTCGAAACTGGCCCTGGAGAGCGACTTCACCCACGACTCCATGGCGGCCTGGCTCTCCGCTGCCAGCACGTAGGTGCGGGACTTGTTGCCACCGAAGCGGATGGCGAAGGCGAACAACTCCTCGGCTGAATCGCAGAGCTCCACGGTGCAGCCCTCCAACACGATGACCCCCACCGGTTCCCGGCTCTCCCGCTCCTCGAAGTAGAAGAGCATGTTGCCCTTCAGCACGAACCAGCGGCGGTGATAGGCCGTGTGCCGCTCGCCACGCTTGTAGAGGAACCCGGCGTTGTCGGCCGGGGAGTCGCAGGTGGCATAGAAGGCCAGGCTCCGCTCGTTCAGCTTCATGGCTCCGATCCCTGTGGGGACAGAGGGTGCTCAGCCACCTGCCAGCACGAGGAGGATGGGTGCGCCTTAATTGCACCGTAATAAGCCGTCAGCTTTTTCTTCCCGGAGGCAACCGGCCCAGGAAATGGAGCCAGTGGGTAAACAGCCCCGTGAGGGCAGGCGGGATAACCCCCACCCCAGACAAGGGGCAGCCTCTGGTGGGTGCGGGGTGGGTCGGGGCTCCCCGAAAAGGGGAGGGTTTCCCCCCCAGCTGAGCGTTTTCCCACAGAGGAGCCCCCGGACAGGGCTCGTCCCGGTGTCCCACGTCACCCAGCACAGGTGACCTTACCGCCGGCGCCGTGTTTGCCCTGCGTCGCTCCTCCCTCCCCGCGGCACCCAAGGGCGCGTTTATGGCCCACGCCACAGATCCGGCTGCAGCTCCAGAGAGCCTTGGCCATGGACTCTGTCACCTGGGCAAGGCCACCTCTCCCCTTGTCCCCCCCTTGGCTTCATCGTTCCGGGCTTCCCACCTACCTGGGCTCCGGCTCTAGCTCCGGGCTCTGGTGACTGCCAGCATCGGCGACGTGCGGGTGACCTTGGTGGCCCTGAGAGAGCTCAATCCGGGGTGCAGCAGTGCAAGGGGGCCGTGGGGACGGGCACCCCGCTGTCCCCCCTCTGGCACCTCACTCCACAGGGTGGATGTGTGCCAGGGTGATTATTTTCCTATTAAAGCCACACCGCAGGCTTCGAGGAGACGAGATGGGGCTCTTGGGGTGCCCAGCGTCGGGGGGCAGCGGGGATGCCTTTCCCCCAAGCAGCCCAGGGACCTTTTTGGGGTCCCCCAAAGTCTTGGGGACGTTTGGGAGCGGGGGAGCCTCCTTCCCCCAGCACCGGGTGACCCCGCTCCGGGTCGGCTCCCGCCCGCCCAGCGCCGTTCGGTTGCGGCTCCGGCCACCCCTCCTTCTCCCGGCTCCGGTCCCGCTCCCGGTCCCGCTCCCGGTCCCGCAAGGCCACCTTTGTCCTCGGCTCCCCGCCGCCCCGGCTCGGCTCGGCCCCGGCGGGCGGAGCGCTGCTCCCTCCCGCCTCCTCCGCCCCTCACCGCGCCTCGGGGCGGTCCGGCAGGAGGAGGGACGGGGGGGGGGCCCTTCCCCTGACCGAGGAACCGTTCCGGAGCTCGGCCCCGGTGCTTGGAGGTCCCCGCTCGGCCCAAAACCCTCGGCGGGTCAAAAATCTGTGCACCGGGGCTGAGGTCCGGGCAGGACCGGGGAGAGATGGGAGCATGGATCTGGGGGTGCAGGGGGATACGGGGGTGTCCGTCGATGTTTGCACGGATGTAGGCATGGATGTATGTGTGGATGTAGGCATGGATGTATGGATGGATGTAGGCATGGATGCATGCATGGATATATGCCTGAATGTTCACCTGGATGTATGCATGGATGTATGTGTGGATCTCCACATGGATGTATTCATGGACAGACGTGTGGATGGATGTATGAATGGATGTACACATGGATGTACACATGGATGTACGTGTGGATGTACTCATGGGTAGGAAACCTGGGAGCTTGGTGGTAAAAGTGGCTGCACAACCCTAAATCAGGCTTTTGGGGCAGAGAGTGAGTGCTCAGGAGCATCTGGCAGGGACAGGAGGAGGTTGATGGGTGAAAAAAGGTGTTGAGGCAGGAGCTGAGTGGCTGGGTGTCCAGGGGAAGGTGACACTGGAGGTAGGAAGCAGGGGTTGATGAGCCATTAGCCGGGCGCTGGAGCTGCTGGGCCTTGTGCAACCACCGTGTGGGCAGAGATGGCAGCCCCCTCACTCCTTCCTGACCGCGGAAGCCATGTGGGACACGAGCCGCTGATGCGCTCTCGACCGGGGGGTCAGCGCTTGCCCCATCGGGGCCAGGGGTGAGCGGGTCCAGTGGTGCCAAGCACTGGGGGCCGGGCTGCATTTTCCACTCCTGGTACCCACGTCCCAGGACAACCATAAACCTTTTGGCTGGGAGAAGCCTCCGGAGCTGACTTCTGCTCTTGGTTGGCCTTCCACGCTGAAAGTGACACCAGCCCGATGACTACCTCGGCAGCGCTGCCGCCGTCCTCACCATGTCCCAATAAATACCAGCCTCAAGGATTTGCTCTCCTTATCGCTCTCCCTTTCCTCCAATTTCTTCGTTCCCCAGCTCAGCTGTGCAGCAACGAGTACATTTTAGCACATGAGGCACTGGTGCTCCTTTTGGAGGCCCTCAACTAAGAAATCCTGCCATCGGTCACCCCCACCACAACCTCTGCTGCCCACAAGTTGTGGTCCCCACCGCGGGGGATGTCCCCACCGCCCTTCACGGCTGCTTGAGGGCATCGCAATCTTCTGCTGGTGGTGGTGGCTTTCTGTTCACTGAGGGTTTTCACCCTGTCACCTGCAGACTTTCTCTTTCGCGCAATAAAAAGGGATTTAAAGCTGCAGTAAAACCATCTGGGCTTTATCGTCCCTCCCGAGCAGAGTGGCTCTGTTCAAGGCCGCTGGTGGGACGCCTGGGCTCTTTCTCCACCGCTTATCTCCCTGCCTTGCTGAGAGGTGCCCTTTCACACGGCAAGATTAGGAGAGGAAAGGACCGTGGGGAGAAGCAATATCTTTATTAGACCAGCTTGGGTAATTGAAAAAAGGCTGCTGCGCTCCCGGCTCTGCCTTCCTTTGCCGGGACTCTGAAACCCCAGCTGCTTCTTGCAGCCCCACCGGCTGCTTTAGCAGAGGTTGTTCCTCCACCACAGCTGCTTCCTGGGGAGCCTCTCGGAAGCTGCTTTGGAGAATGGCCCCCAAATTCCTCAAAAACCACCAGCAAAATTCCCCCAGGCCTCTTTGCTTCCCGTTGGGTTTCCCTTGGGATGCTCACGTGTCACTGCACGGGCTCCAGCACTTCCCCTTCCGAGCAGCCCCGTGATATTTTTCCCTGTTGTCCCCCTCCCCCAGTGAGGAGCCCCTGCCTCAGTTTCCCCTGCCAGGTCTTGCTGGGAAAGACAGGAAAATGAGCCCCCGCGCTGAGCTTGCCTGACAGCAGAGAAAAGGGAGAGGAAAAGGGTCTGAAAGGAAGCGAGGGGCTGGCGGGCGCCGTGTGGGACGTGGGCTGCCCTTGGTCTCTGCTTCCTGCTGCTCCCATGACTTGGTGACTTGGTGGTGGCGGTTACGCAGCGGCGGGTGCTCAGCGGCTCAGCGAGGTGAGCAGGGAGCTCTGAGTCACTGCTGGGGCCAGCTCTGGCTTGGTGGGGGTACCGAGGGGCTACTCGATGCCCGGCACTGTGTGTCCCCAGCCGGCACACTTGTCCCCCAAATGGACCCAGCTGTGCCAAGAGGGTTCAAGGCAAACAAGTTGAAGGAGATGGACCTGTTGGAACAGGTCCAGCAGAGGGCCACGAAGATGATCGGGGGATGGAGCACCTCTCCTGCGAGGACAGGCTGAGAGAGCTGGGGTTGTTCAGCCTGGAGAAGAGAAGGCTCTGAGAAGACCTCATAGAGGCCTTCCGATATCTGAAGGGGCTACAGGAGAGCTGGGGAGGGACTCTTTGTCAGGGAGTGGAGTGATAGGACAAGGGGTAATGTAAAATTGGAAGAGGGGAGATCTGGATTAGATATTAGGAAAACATTCTTTGCTGTGAGGGTGGTGAGAGCCAGGCCCAGGTTGCCCAGAGAAGCTGTGGCTGCCCCATCCCTGGAGGGGTTCAAGGCCAGGCTGGATGGGGCTTTGAGCAACCTGGTCTGGTGGAGGTGTCCCTGCCCAGGGCAGGGGGTTGGAACTCCATGATCTTTAAGGTCCCTTCCAACTCCGACCATTCTATGTTGTGACCACCACGAGAACCCCCAGTGTCGCTGGTACCACCCTCCCGGGGGCATTTCTGGGGGCGGGAACCCCTGTCCCTCCCCGGACCCACGCAGGTCTCCAGCCTGGCAGCCCGAGGGTCGGGCACCGGGGGGGTTGCGCTGCCCCCGGACACCCCCCCCAACCCCGCACCCCCGGGGCCGGGAAGGGCCGGAGGCGGCTGCAGTGCGGAGGGTGCCCGGCAGGGGGCAGCTGGAACCCGGCGACGGCTGCGGGCAGCGCTGCGGGCTCGGCGGGGCTGCGGGGAGCAGCAGCACCCCCTCCATCACCACCCTGCCCATCACCACCCAGCCCATCACCATCCCCTCCATCACCACCCTGCCCGGTGCCACCCAGCCCACCCTGCCCTCTGAAGGGGCTGCGTGAAAGCCAGGCTGAGATTTATTTTTTTTTAGGGGGGAGAGGGGGTATTACCAGCTCAGCGCAGACTCCCATAGCCAAACATTTCCAGATGGCACCCCCCCAAGACCCTCTCCGGGCAGAGGAAGGGGATGGGGGACCCCTCATCTTCACAGAGGTCACCCGCTGCCCATCATGTCCCACCCTGGGAAGTGCCACTTCCAAACCACCCGCCGCACCCCGGAAAACGAAGCGGGCCAGAGGGTGGGAGTTGAAGAGAGAAGTGGGAAGGATGGTTGGAAGCTGGTTAAGGCTTTTACAGGAGAAGAAAGCGGCAATGGTTAAAAGCTGAGCCCGGTGCAGAGCGAAAGGGAAGCGGTGGAGCGTGTGTGTGTGTGTGTGTGTGTGCATGTACGAGGGCATCTGCGCAGCTCTGCACAAACAAACAGAAAAAGCAGAAGTCAGTGGTAGTGAATTAGCAGTTAGGGACTGTAGAAAATCCATACAGGAAGCAAAACAAAAGAGAAATCTCAGGCCGTGGGGGCTGAGGATGCTGAGAGGGCGCTTTTGAAACAGATGAAGCTCATAAAGAAAAGTGTGCAAGAGCTGGGAGCTGGGACAGCCGCTCGTGGGAAGGAGGGAAGGCACCGAGCTCCACCGACTGCTCGTCCCTGCTGGGGAAAAAAAGGCAGAAAGTGCAATTATGCATAAAGCAACGGCAGGAGGAATTAAAAAGCAGCTTTTAAGGTAAGATTTTATCACCTCAGCCACTCCCAGCCACTTTCCTGTGGGGTTTGGGGAGGGCTGGCTGGTTGTAGAGTTGCCTGGACCCCTGGAGCGGGTGATGCCCAAGGGGAGTGTGGGGTTACAGCCCTACAGGAAAGCTCAAATCTGGTCCAGGGGCTTGGTGGGGATGGAGGGGGACAGCAGGGCTGTGTCCACATGGCTGTGGTCCGGGGATGGCCAGCCCTGAGCACAGCACCAGCGGGGGGGTCCCATTATGGTCTTTTCCTCGTCGGAAGGGGGTGGATTGGGAAGGGATGGGGTGAGTGCCTGGGGTGTGCTTTAAAGCATCACCAAAGATGGAGCCCGCTGGTGGTGGCACACAGAGGCCCCTTCACAAACAGCTCAGTGTGCCTCAGCCTGCTCTCCAAGGGCAAATCCCACAGCTCCCACCTTCCCAACACCCACAAATTGATTGTGTGGTGTCTGTAAAATCCCAGCTGCCACTTCCCTGGGTTTCCCCAGTTTGGCGTGCTGGGAGAGCACCAGCCCCTGAGGCAGTGCTGCTCTGCTGTGGCTCTCGAATGCCCAGTATGAATGGCACCTGCAAAGGGGTCTGTGGGGCAAGGAGAGCCCCTCCATCCCCCGTGCTGCTGCTGCTGCTCAGGGAGGATGAGGCCCCGGAGGAGCTCTTGGGACAGCCGGTGACGCGAGTGAGAGATGTCTATGGGCCAGATGTGATGGCACAGACCACAAACCAGCCCTTTCCTGGAAAAAAAAAAAGGTGCAGTGAAGGTTTATTGTCCTCCCATTTCCCATAGCTCGCAGGGCGGGTGGCTGCAGCTCTGCTGTGCTGCCCCTGCTCTCCTGGAACAGGTTGGCACCAGGATGGCAGTGTGATGGCTCTGTCCCTCCTTGGGACCGGAGGGACACTGTGACTGCTCTGTCACGGCTGAAGCCCTCATTCATGGCACAGAACAAACGCGGGTCCTGCGGCCTGATCCGCTCCCACCCGGCTGTGGGAGATGCCCCGCGGTGCCTTTCGCAGCAAGATAATTTCCTCGACCGAAAGGCAGAGGATAAACGATGAGAAAT